CTCAATCTACTCAGTAGCAGAACTATATCTTGAAAGATGTCAGAACTATATAGTATATCAGAATTATATCTTCTCTAATCTTCACTCCATCTCCTCTCCATACCTAAAACCTGTCCACACTGTGGGTGGCGAGGGGGGTAGAGAATGACCACAGCAGATTCATATGTGATCAGCATGGTTTTGTAATACACCATGTATACCCTAAGACAAACGGAACAATACATTCCCACCCTTACTTTTCACCACCTAAATTGGCCAAAATAAATGAGGTTAGTGCAACCATTTGCTCACATTTGGTGGTCCACAAGATGTGTGGACTCAGTCAAATTTTCTTAGGATTATATCTTCCCTCTAACTCTATAGCCCATTGCTCCCATTTCTTCCTGCCCCCTCCTGCAACTTCCTGATTTAACATTCTTGTTCTCCTCTCTTCCTCTGTTTTTAGCCTCCATATTCTAACTTACTTAGATTCCAGAAAAAAAATTAATCCATGTTTCCACCATTTTTTGGTCTCACTCAAATTCAACAAATAGTCATTAATATGTTACCACATGGAAAGTGGAGACAATATAAATGCTTTTGACCTAAATATTTGAGACATACATTCTCGGTAAATAAAAATCTTCACCTCGTGTGTATTTCAGCAGACACTGGGCGAGGTTGGGTGGATTGAGAAATCTTTGCATCATACTTTGGGGAAAAGCTACTAAAATCCTATCAACAGACCATCTGGGAATTCAGAGTAATATGTACCATAAGGAGTGGGCGTTGAATTAAGCTTATCACAGGTTTATCATATGAGTCTTAACCATTTGATTGTTTGAGAGATTGGTTAATGAATTATATCTGTACAATTATATCAGCTCTGCTGGGCTGGTAAGAAAATGTATCCTTTTAAATCTGTTGCTTACAATTTTCATTATCCAGATTGTGGAGCACATTTATGACATGGTTCTTTAAAAGTCTACCCATTCCTAATGTCAGAGAATTACGTGGGAAAAGCAGTCAATCATTCTCCCAGTGGAGATGGAGATGTATTCTAATTCACATGATGCCTTTAACTTCAATCAATGAACCTCATCAAGTGAGTTCTTACGGGCAAAGATAGCATGTGTATCTGGAGAACTGTCTCTAATACTAACAAGTCAAAATATATGCCAGTTGAACCCAGAATTTTTATGCAAAATAAATAGGATAGATGAAGGAGTTAGACTTCCTGGTAGATTGATATAATCTTTTTATCTTCCACTAAGCACAACTAAGAACTTGGGAGATTACACATAAATTAAATGTAAAACCACTATGGTGAGGAGAAGGTAGCCCATCTAGCAAATTCAGGATCCAAGTCATAATGCAATAGTAAGTTCTCTGGATTTTAATTTACTTTGTATTTGGAAGAGTTGCAGCAGAATAAGCCATAAACTCAATGGATAAAAATGACAAAAGCCCCATAAATGTCTGTTTTCAACCCCCCAAATGGGAGGGGGTATGGAAAAAAAGTAAAACTTTTAGGGAAAAAAAACTGCCACACTCCATATGAATAGCTCAGAAAAATTTGTCATAATACTCTCCACCCATTCAAAAAAAAAAAAAGTGCAGTGGAGGCCTTAGATATTTATACATTTTAGGATGTGATGATGGGCTCCCTTTCACATGTAAGAACAGTGTCACCAGCTGCCAAGTGGGAGTCAGAACTTGTTTCCCCATGAGCTGTAATAAGGAAATTGTGATAATTAAATGAACAAAAATAAACAAAATGTCCAAGCAAAGAAGATATTTAAGATATGTAAGATACAAAAATAAAAATATTTTTAAAATATTCATTGAATATTACTAAGAATATTCCTAAGAATAATGGAGAAGACAGGAGAAAAAATTAGTGAAGACAAAGGTAAAACCAAAGAAATACTTGAAATCCACAAGAGAAAGGGTATATGGGCTGAAAAGCAGAATGTAGGATCTTCACTGGCATGTAGGACTACTGTGAAAAATGGAGTGTTCTGCCATTGGAATCCCAGAAGGAGAGGATGCAGAAGTTGGAAATAAAAAAAGTACTCAAGGATATAATACCTGAAACTTCCCAAATCTCACATGCACACACACACAAAAAAAAAAAAAACCTAAAAATCAAGAGAGTAAACAAAGCCTGAACAATACAAATATTGAGAAAGCCTCACAAAGAAATATACATGTTTTCAGTCAAACATATATAACAGAAACACCATAAAACATCATGAAAGCCAAGAGACATTATGTACAGGGGAAAGCAATCTCAATGACTGATGATCTTTTACCAGAAATCATGCAGATTAGCCATGTATGGTGGTACATACCTGTAATCCCAATAGGTTGGGAGGTTGAGGCAGGAATATCGAAAGTTCAAAGCCAGCTTCAGCCACTTAGCAAGGCCCTAAGCAACCTAGTAAGACCCAGTCTTTAAATAAAAAAGGTTTTAAAAAGAGCTGGGGATATGGCTCAGTGTTTAAGTGTCCCTAGATCCAGATTGAGGATCACACCAGGAAGGAAGGA